TTCCAACTGGAAAGGCTGAGATTGGCAAAATGACGGAGCGTAAAAATGAAAGTAACTAAATGTTATGAAAAAACTAATAATTACAAATTTTTTTTTTTTTTTTTTTTTACCGGGCTTTTTGTTTGGAAGGATATTGGCGGCGACTTGGGACGTTTTGCCGATCGTTAAAAGTCGCGACATTGATAGCAAAATATACTTTACCCACAATAATGTAATTTTACATGAATTTCTTACATTAGCTAGAATGCTTTCATTGATTTTAGACTATTTTTATCTTAGTACTTGGTAATTAAAGTTACTGCAATTGACACCAGTGATGGTACTTAGCACACTTTTGATTGTCATATTTGTTCGCGCGTTTCAAATTAGATCATAAGCAAAAAATTATATTAGAGTTTGAAAAATTACGTATTAAAATATCTGAATTTTAATATTATTATTGTTAATACAAATCGTGGCAATGTATGCCCCCAATTAACGCTACGATCGCAAGAAAAACACAGTTCAACCGTAATAGAATTTCCAGAAACGTATCAGTTTGTTTTCTATTTAGCATATGAAAAACTCTGGCATCGTTATCAAGATAGACACACAGTCAAACACTGGATGGAATATAAAGTCCTATGCGCGACCGCGTTGCTATAAAAAAAAGACTCGCACATACTTCAGCTGTCTGACTCGGATCCCGTCTTTGGACTGTTGCAGTGAGGACAGCGTTTACTAATTTATATGTTTTGTGGACATATTGTAAAAATTTGAACTATGTTATTAATCTGCTGGGAAGAATGTAAACCAATTAATCATATAAATACCCAAAAGCTATTAAAATGGCCCGCAGTTCATTATTTCCTATGACAATTATCTGAGCGAGAAAAGGCAGCGAGAACGCACAAATATCAGCACTGATTTCTTTAACTACAAATAGTCTGAATCGAAATGTATGTCACAAAATAAAATTTCCGCGAACAACTTCTCTAACTAAATGATTACGATGTGAGACATATCTTGAGTTATGAAAGAATCTCAAAATTAAGACCTATATCGAGAAATTAAATCTAAAATGGATGTTAGTTTCGGTTTCGCTCCTGAATAAAAACGCGCATCGTTGCGTTAATTTTACGGAAAACACCGTCCTTGTTTCCAAGGTAAAGAGGTGACCTGCGCTCATAACACCCTAGCTTCCCCATATTACCAGAAATAATTGTGTCGCTCAGTGAAGCCAGCACACTAGACAGGCTCAACAGCCGGCACGCATCTCCGACCCTCACTATAACCGCCATCTTGGAAAATGAGTGGCGCCAGTCGTGATAGACAAAATGGCGATAAGCCTCCTTTTAGCGAATTCGGCCGCCGCGAAGCGGCGTGTACGGGTAAATCAGGTGAGTTAACATTTTTGTAATGAGCCGCCGCAGATTGCCGCCGCGAAGCGGCGGGAGCGCAGCGGGGGGCATGGCACCAATGATACACGCGAAAAGTAGGAAAGCCTTTTTTTTAAAAGCGTTCCCTTTTCGATAAAAAGTGTTTCTCTAAACTGGGGCTCCGCTTCCTCTAAACCGCGCTTCAATAAAACGTGCCCATTCTCTAAAACGTGCTTCGATGAAATGGCATTCGATCAACCTTAGTAAACCCGATCCCATGATTGTATGGAATGACCACGATTTTGTTTTGAGTTTTGTCTGCCTCAGTTTTGTCTTTGCTTCTTGATGACATGCGTTTGAGTCTTTTGCACAGTTTCACACACGCCTACCACGAGGTCGTCAGGATATCCGGATTCTTTTAAACGAGACACTTGCCTGTCAAAACTTGCCTCAGTCAGATGTTATGCACGATTTGTGTATGGCAGACATAAGTGCCCTGGTAGTCTACATCGGGCACGTCGCATAAGTGGTGGTAGTCTACAAAAGTGACGTCACGTGATAGTGTGACTTGTGCCTTGTGTGGAAGGCTTCGCTTGAGAATGCTACGGCTGCGCTGGCGGCGCGTTGCTGGATTTGTCGACGGTCAGTCGCGGCATCCGTCGAGCCAGTTGCGGACGACCCGGGTCCGGTGTCGCGCGTGCCGCAGTGAGCGCGGCGGCCCTTGTGCGTGGCGGTCGCAGCGCAGCGACGTTGACTCATTGCTCGCCCCCTGTTTACTCGTCGGCGGTGTCCGTGGCCCGGAGCCAGGCGTCCGCCTCGGCTGCACCCTGCTCGCGCGCACCCCTTTGGACTCCGGGACCCGGATTGCGGAAAGACGCAAACCCCAGCCAAGTAGGAGGAGTCAGTGCCTCGCTAATTCCTTGGACGTTGTCAAGGCTAGCGTGGCTTCCTCCTTCGCACGAGAGACGCAAGACGAGCCAGCAGTGCAGGGCTTCAGCACTGCTGCGCTAGCCTTGGCACGAAGCACAAGGTAGAGCCAGTAGAGCTACGAAAGGGAGTTTCCACGCCAGATCGCACAATAATAGTCCGTTTTTTTTTTTCTTTTTTTAATATTTATGTAAAAAATAAGTAAAAGCCATGTCCTTGGGAGCAGTGGTGTGGCCAGGTATTTTTTTCGGGGGCAGCAAAGGGGGGGGAGGGGGGGGGGGTTGATAGTGCATGTTTTACATTATCGGGTCGGCTGGATTTTGGGGGGGGGCTGATGCTTCATAAGGCTCCTCCTTGGCTATGCCTTTGCTTGGGAGGAGCATTCAGCTGCATTTAAAGGTGATAGTTAATTTTTGTCCAGAGAGATAAAGTTCCTGATCTCGAGGCGTGCAGATTGCTAAGATTTCACTATGGTAATTTGCACAGCCGTCGATTTCGCACCGAAGCATGCTCGTAATAATTTTTCTTACATATTTTATGAAAGGTTTACAACGTGTACACATAATATTGAAAATTACATTTACACATTTTTATAAAAAGAAACTATGGAACACGTCAATTACCCCACATTTTAGAAGTTCACGTGCAACATTATCAAAATCAACACCTTTTAATGCATTTGGCGAATACATATAAAAAAAATGCTTAGACATTATTGCAGCTGTGTTATTAATGCGGAAACACAGCTGATTTTTCTAAATGTAACAAAATTGCGAGTCAATAGTTAAAAAAAAAATTCTTTATTTTTTATGTTTTCATATTGCCGCGAGCGCAGCTGACTAAGTAGGCAGCGCGGCCTTGGCCTAACGGTTATCGCGCTCTCCTGCCAAGCAGAAAGCCAGGGTTCGATTCCTGACCGCGGGTACGCAGTTTTGTTGACTCTAATGTGATGTTCTGGTAAATTCGAGAACCGTGTTGCTAATTCGAGGTTAGAATGTTCTACACGCCGAAACTTCTACGCTCATTGTTTCAGAAGCCCACGCGTGTACAAAAGGGGCTCTGCGTGGCACGCCGGAGTCAGTTTCGCCCCAGCGTTCGACTCTGCTGTCACGCCGACTTTGACGCCTGTGATGCTTTGCTTTTTTTCTGTTCCCTTTTTATGTTTCGGCACAAGTTCGCCCCATTAAACATTTAGTTTCTTCAGTTATTATTGCCTCATTAATTGTCATTCGTGACATTTTGGTAGAGGTGCGGGGTATCGATCCCCGTACCTCTCGCATGCCAAGAGAAAGGTACGGGGATCGATACGTGACAATACTCTCCTTAATCGTCTCCTGTGTCTTGAACTACGTGAGCGTGTTGGTGGCTTTTAAACAATTCGAAAGAAGTGTCTCCTCGTCCCAGTTGTTTCAAAGAGAAGAAGTATGGGGAAGGTACATATTTGTATGACCATAGCCTATTTTGATCATGTGTGTTTTTCCTGCATCGGGGGAGGACAAGTACATATGATAATCTCCCTACTAGAAAAGTTGGCGCCGATAAGTAAGTCAGCGTAAAGAAAGCGCGCAGACGCAGTGAGCAAAGAAATCTTGTGACGTGGATCTCTAAAAGAAAAAAAATGTTTTTGTTTATATTTCGTGAGGTCGCTCTGCCTTTGAGGTATGCTGTCACTGGTTTACGCTGTAGTTCAGAAATCTAGCCAGTGCAGTAACGCTGTTTGCCTGAGGTCCTTGAAGTGCTTCACGCAGTAGCGATACGCGATTGCACGCCGGAACGGTGGTTATCCAGATCGAAAGAGGCATGGGTGTTCTCTTGCATAGTGTTTGGTTACATTGCTGCTTTCTTGAATACCATAAAATGGCGGGGGAGCAGCCACCCTACTTTTACAGAAAACTAGGTATATGTAGAAGTGTGCTTGTCTGGTCAAATTGTGCGCTTACCATATAATTTGCAGACTTCCCAAGTTTGGAAAATGTTACCGTATTTTCCGGGCTATAGTCCGAAATTTCTGGCTGTGCGGACTGCAGAGGAATTTCATTTTTCAAGATCGTTCATTGTGACGAGACATGACGGAATTTGTTACTGAAAGAGTATGTTAATGATGATTTATGTATAATGCAAGCTTCATTGTGAGCTAAGAAAGTAGACATCTGTCAAGGTGTGCCGTGTGTGAGAAGATTTTCCTGTGGACTAAGCACCAGGTGCGGACTATGCAGCGGATATGGATTATCTAAGCAAAAACTTTTGTTTTCGGCCTGTATTGGCCCTTGCGGACTATAGCCGGAAAAATACGGTAACATTGGGCGCTGGAATGAAGTGGGCACTTCCGTGGTATTTTACAATAATGTTTTTGTACAGTGCTTTTTTTTTTTTGAAAATGTTGTTTATGATTTTGCGGGTGCTTCCATATAGAATTTATCTCTATCTCACATAAATTTATTCTTTTGTGTCTCAGTTATAAGTTGATACCTAGGTTTTATTCAGGATGGTTTTCTGCCACTGTATCGGGGGGGTTAGGGACCGGTCGAGCTGTTTCCGACCGCTTTTTTTTCCCATTGTCTGTCGGAAAATAAAGGATATTATTATTATCCCTGAGTTCTGCAGCGCGAGGTTTCGCTCCGCTTGCTCCGATAGCACGCTCGGCCAGTGATTCCCTTATGTTTTCCCCCGGAGGGGGTGCCGCGCAGCGCGCTCACGCGTCTCTCGCCCACGCAGGGTCCTGGCGATGCCCTGAGGGTTCACGGCAGCCCCGCGGAGGGCGCCATGGACGGCCCGGCCGTCACCTTGATGGAGGCCCCCCAGCTGGCGCTGCTGTTGCACAGGGATCCCGGAAACGTGAGCCCTCTTCTTTGACCAGTTCTCCTGGGTTGTTCCACCGCACCCCTCTCCACAACCTGCTAGAAGGTCCGCAACTCTGCAGGCAAGGCTAGCGGCACACACGCGTGGTACTTGGTTGCAAAGAGTGGAAGTGGGGAAAAGGCTTTATTTTAGTAGGTCGTTCTGATAATGATAGTATTCGCGCGCATTGGTATCAAAGGAGTGTGGAGTAGTGTCGGGCATCAGAGTCATTGAAAATAACTCCTTTTCGTTGGGCTGTAGGCGCAGTGGGAGGAGCGACCTGCCACCTCTGCCGTTCTCCGAACCCGGGCTCTTTTGGGATGGATTTTACCTACGAAAGAGTTGGCTTCTTTGTATAGAAGCCCGTACATGTCCGGCCTTCATTTATTAGGCAGAAATCAGCGTATTTTAGTGATTTCTTTCATACAGACGCAAGAAACTGCGGTTATTGGTGACGCGCAAAAACCTAAGAATTAAAATTACAGTTTGCGTGCACCCAATTAAAACATTTTGTAGGGCCACAGGTTATTAAATTGAAGGGATCTAGAATGAGACGGGAGGAAAAGGCGTCCCTCCAGCATGCTCACCTCGTGCTTTTACTGCGCATGCACGCTCGAAACTCACCAGACAGCTGGGTGCAGGAGTGGAGATTACTTGAAAAGCCTTCTTGCCGTTCTCAACCAGAGGTCATATAGTTACCGACGATTAATTTATTAACCGGTCAAAATCTTTCTGTGAGGTGGTCGCGGGCATGCCCCTTGTCACTGTCCAACGTCAAGAATTTAATCACTGACGAAAAGTAGTAACCAAAACACATGCAAGGTGCAAAGCGTAGTTACCTATTGACGCCGCCTCAGATTTGAGCCGGTAACATTACTTTGCTGTTTCATTCCCTTCATAGCACTTGGTGACAAATTTGTCAGAAAAAAAATTTATTCTTTCAGCCTCTGATCTACTTCTGCTTGAGCCCAGGACGTTCAAAAAGAGTTTAGGGAAGAGTTTATCATTGCTGCCAGTCACACTTTGGTGACCTTGAGCAACAGCTGGCTCTCGAAAATCTCGTCGGACATCTTGTTTTGTTTCTGACTGAAGACATGTTGTCTGCCATGCCGAACACTCTCTCAATGGAGGACCTCTCAAATGCCTGACGCACTGCATTTTGCGCTTCTTGCAAATGACAAAACAAATCTCTTCCCTGGGGAAAGCACAAAGCTTCCTTGTTGCAGCCGGAGTTTCACGCCGTTAGAATCGCAAAGCTGTAAGTTGTCACATGGCTAATTAAGCCTGGAATAAGATCAATGCATGTAAATCTAAACATATTTCAGCCAGCAAATTTTGCCAAATGATAGTGCAGAAAATAGCAAGACATGGTAATTACTACACATAAAATTCAATTATAAATTATGTTTTTATATTGATCTTTCATTAGCTTAAACGCATGTCGAACCTTGGTTGAGACATTGGTGAATTAGAGGATGGTGCTTTTTATAACCAACAAAAACATCAAAGGATCTCTCACAAAACAAAAATAGGATGTCTATTAAAACAAGGAAATGTAGACGCACATATGTACTACCATTTCTTGGTGCTGTCCAAAACAGATGTAGCTCGGTTTGGCCTTACCATGACTCGGCTCTTTACAGCTAGATATCAGCTGAAGCAACAGCAGCGTCCTTCTACAGAAACAGCAAACGACAGTAAAGTCCGGAATCAACAATCTAACATTGTTACTAAAACAAAAAAAGCTGATGTCAGCTATTATTTTGTTTTCTTATTACTTGCTTTAATGGGTTTAAAAAACAATGCAATAGATTCTGTGTCAAAATATGCATTCTACAAATAATGTGCTGTATTGTAAGAAAAGAAAAAAGAATTACTATTTTTATATGGGCCACACTAAGCTGATGCATAGAAAGGGTTATAGGGATGCAGCCAACCTGATGCTTTTAGAGGATCAGGTGGAAAGTAGCAGAAAATCAAGTAAACATTCTTATCTCCCAAAGATGAGAAGTGTTCTAATATCTTTTGAGCAAGATGCCAGTTATTGTCACATTGTATTGAGTCTATGTCTGTGTTGAACTTTATTTGAGCGGAAGTTGAAGCGTTCTGTTGTGACATCATGCAAGCTGTTGTAGTCACTATAACCGAACAGGGCATTGTTAATTGTCTGGAGCTTTTGGAAGGTGTGCAATCGTTTGGTGTCCTCTCCTTGTCTTCGAAAGTGAAGAGTGAGGAGACAAAAAGAAAAAGTGCATTTGCTACACCAGCTCACATGCACTTTGACCACTTTCTTTTTGCTAGAACTAAACATTTTCACTGTGAGCTTGCTTTGAAGAAAGGCTTTGAGCATTTGAAGGATGCCAGGCCTTGCGTTTTTTAAGTGCAGATGACAGTGGGAGTCCAGTAGAGTTTATGTAGATAAGAAAATTACTTTCAAATGACTGTAAAATTTGTAATTCTTCTCTTACAGAATTACTGATAAATGTAAGGGATTACAAGTAATTTCGTTATGTGTAACGTTTCTTCTTTCCTCTCAGGGAGCACTAAGAGAGGAGGATAAGTTGCAGAAAGAAGGTGTGCAGGAAGCCGGTCATTTTTTTTCGTGTCCCCCGCAGAATGCAAAAAGAAAGAAAAGGGGGTAGTTCACTTCATGACACCTGTGTGGTGCTGCTAACCAAATGGCTCCTTTTCACCTCTCCTTTTTATGGCGGCCTATCGGTCTGGCGTGGAGGGTGCAGGCTTTCCCCTTATAGAAGAGGCTACGGTGGGCCATACCGGCCCCAATGCAGGAATGGAACTGCCTCGCCAATTGCACCACAAAAGTATAAATAATGAAATTTCACCAAGGTGCGCCCAAACTGAAATTATAAACGAGCCTCATAGCTGTCTCGCAATTCCTGTTGGCTACATTTACACTAGAGGCTTGGCTAGTCTTGACTGGGCACCCGGCAAGCCTGTGGATCTGAATGAAAATTTCTGCATCCGAAGGTTGCTGCTGTTGCTGCGTGCTTTCCAGAGTCACTGGAGTGTTGGAGTCACTTCATCTAGATAGTGGAGGAAAACACGCCACCATATAGGGATAAAATCGGATGTACTTCAGTTGGCATGCCTCCCTCTTTGCTGCACTTGTGTGACTATTGCAAGCCCACGTTGGCCGGTGCAGAAAGCTTAAGAACAAAGGTGAGCAGTGAGGCATATGACGGAGTGAGGTACGAGCTGCCAGATTCTGACTGTGCTGATTGCACTTTGAAGAGATGAAGAAATGTAGGCGTGGTCTACTCTTCTTATTCTCTTTGCTACGTTTACTTAGAGAATTTAAAGCAATTTATCTAACCGTTGTGCTTGCAGCTAGTCAGACAAGTTTGAACGAATCCATTTTGAAGGAACGAGAGGGGGATCTGATAGGCGTATGATGCAGTAAGGCTGCTCGCAAAACGGAACAGTTTTGACTTGCTCTGCAACGTTGTGATATCCTGTATGCAACGCAGTGTGACTGCAGTTAGACGGCATGCTTCATAATAAAAAAACACAAGGATGCTGCTGCTAGATCACGAAACAAGGATGGGGACCTGGAGCCTCCAAAACAGACCCAAGGTGTGATATACTTTTTGAGCCGTGCATTGATTTCATGTGCATTGTTTGCTGACGAGCTGCATAAAATGGAAGCAGCATTTGCAATGGATGTTGTTGCGAAATCGGTCCCGTACTTGTTTGGTGATACGGCAAACATATTGCTTCCTTTGATGTTTGCGGACTCGCAATTGGCTAAGATCACATGTGGAAGGAAAACGTTGTTGTACGTAGTGTCGGATTGCGTGGCACCATACTTCATCGCTAAAGTAAAGGAATAGTTCTGTCGGCCCAGGTTCTACTTCGCAATACAGATTGACGAAACTCCAATACCGGAACAGCGCGTGCAGCAACTAGACGGGCTCGTTCGGTATTTCGCCAGTAGCCAGAACAAAGTGGTCGTTGAGCATCTGTGATTGTCCAACTTGGCCCATCTTGGGCCATGCGACTGCAGACACCATTGTAGGGTGCATTGAAGATGCATTGGTTGACTTGCCAAACAACAGCATGGTTTGCTTTTTTAGAGATGGGCCCAATGCCATAAAAAGTGTGAACGAAAAGCTGCAAGTACAAGTGAGTCCGAACCTCCTTGACATCGGGGAGTGTAGTCTCCACGAGGTGCACAATGTGTTTGCCAAAGGCCTGAATGTCTTCGGAATGGACGTTGAACAACTGGTTATTGATGTCTATTAGCACTTCAAGAGCGCTATGGGATCATAGAATCTCGGGGAACACCAACATAACCTGGGTCTTTCTAAACATCTGTTTTTGTGCCACATCAGCAATCACTGGCTCCCGCTTCAGGGAAGTCTTGAACGGCTGCTAGATCCCACCTTGAAGTCTTTTTTCCAGTTGAAGGAGGCGATCATGCCATCTGTGGGCCCCCGGCAGAACCGGCTGGCGTCTGCACTGGAAGACAAGCAGCTTCCGGCAAAAGTCAGTTTCTCAAGAATGCTGCTCACGTGTACTCTGGTTTCCAAACACTATTTTAGCTTGGTAAAATTTGAAAGGCAAGGGTGAAAGAATGAAGAGAGAGGATAGAGTGCTTTTTTTTTTTACCAAGATGTGTAGCCGACTAGCCCAGCAGATGATTTTAATACACTATTTCAGATGGACGAGCCCCTGGTGCATGTCTTCTGCAGCGAGCTTATTGGACTTGCGAAGAAGCTACTGTTCATCAGGCACAACATTCTTTCTTAGTCCGCAAAACAATTGAACTTTCTCAACTTGGAGTCATCCAAGATATGGAAAAATTTCCCAGAAATCGGACATGGCACAGAAGAAGAGATGAAAACCTGGGAACTAGAGAAGAAATGAGCATCCTGCACTGCCGCTAGGGTGTTTTACTTGGCCTATGCACATTCGCTTTTGGAACTGCTGCCCCTGGACAACAAGCTCCTATTTCACCTCCTATTCCTGGATCCTTG